AACAAACAAACACACAAACAAACACACAAACACACAAACACACAAACAAACACACAAACAAACAAACAAACACTTAATAACACCAGTTTCTGTACAAATGTCTCACGGCCGGAGACCGAAACTCACTTCTACTTTTCCTAAAATTTCTCTCTCTTTCTCCGTGTCCGGGAAACATTATTCAGAAATAGTGTCCGGAATCCGCTTGAGTGTGAGGCAAGACTTCTTTGTCTCTCGTTGCATCATTGTTTTATATCAAACCTAAACGACAGAATCACTGCTGGAAATCAATTTTGTAATTCATACATGGCAGCTGTTGCGTGAGTTAGAAACAGGGTTGAGATTAGTAAATGTTATTTAATATATAAGTCTAGATGTATAGAATGTTTATACAATGTGTCGGAATAATGGTTAGGCTTACCGCTTTAAGCGGGAAGTTATAATATAAAATATTATTACATCTTGAAACAGTTGTGTGGGTCACAATACAGAAGCGGTAACAAAACATCATAGCTACACAGACAAAACAGACCTGTTCAATAAAGCCTTAACAATAACCTTGGGGACCACTTTGTCGGAAACCATAATGTTGAGTTCCCTTTATTTGGGGTTTGTTTTGTCGGAGCTGGTTGTGCTAACAAATTTGTGGGTCCAAATTTTATTTTATTTTACTGTGTAAAATACTTTAACATTTTAACGATACGATTAAAATTATTACAAAAATGCTTGTTTGATACCCCCCCCCCCCCAACCCCAATTCCAGATTATTGAAGAAACACATTTTACACAGGCTGGTGTAAAGCAGCTGGTAGTGGATTAAAAAAAACGACAAACTCGCTCTCGTTATAAATGCGAATCCGGCACCCATACAACTCATGTGCTTTGGGCGTCTGAATGTTCAGCCCTCAGAGGCGGAGCGACGGGGGGGGGGGGGTACATATGTCCCCGGGCGACGACCCTAAGGGCGCCAAAATTAGCTCATTTTAGCTGCTATTTTGAATTATAAATATAAAAAATATATGGGGGGGGGGGCGGCGCCAAATTGAAAGTTTGTCCCCGGGCGCCGGGAGAGGTCGCTACGCCTCTGTCAGCCCCCACCCCCCTCTTGCTTGAACACGTCACTAGCACTGCATTGTGGCGATTCTTACAAAAGTGTGCACTGTTTTAGCCTTCAAATATTAGGGCCTGTATCACATATTAGTTTTGCATTTCTACTATAATTTCAATTATAGTTGTGTTACTTGTTGTACGCTGACCCGGTGTCATTACTCACAATTACCCGGTGAGTTTAAAAAGAAGAATTCTAGTAAACGAAACAAGAAGTGAAACCACATTTCCGAGGATTAGCACTGGCGTGTTTCGGTAATTGTTCTAAGAAATGGCGAGGTTTTTTTTTTGTTTTGATTTGATGGATCTCGCTGCTGTCACGTGAGTGGATAGGGGCCATAGGCCACGTGACAGGATACGGCCACTGAGTTGGTGATATTTTGTGAATGGTTGATGGAAGATTTTTATCATATCGTGGCATTGGTTTTAACTTGCTAAATTATTCTCTAAATCTGTTTCATATCATTTTCAGAATTTCTTAAAGGAATTGTTGAAAAAAATAAAACCTACTATGATCAACTTTTGACAATCACAATTCTGATGTACTTTACGTTTCAGTATGTCAATTATTGCGGTCCCATATGTCTTGGGCACAAAAGGGAACATATGATGTCAATAATTTCAAATAATTAACATTAAGTATCGGCATATGAGTTTGAACCTCCCCCCCCCCGCCTCCTTTCTTCCATATCTCTCCCCCCCCCCCCGTATGTCCTCTCAAAATAAAAAAAAAAACGAGTTCCTAGTAAGTTACAACTATTGGCGACGGCACTTGTATACATAGATTTTGGTTTCGAAATAGTGAATATTGTAAAACCACAATTTTACATCCTCATATATATATATATATATATATATATATATATATATATATATATATATATATATATATATATATATATATATATATATATATATATATATCAAAATCCTGCTGTCTACGCCACTGGAAATAGGAAACAAGAAGTAAAGCGTACCTAAAAAAAATTTCTACACACGGAAATCTTTCAAGAATTTAACAATCTAACACTCAACTGTCGAAGTGTTTAAATTAAATAAAAAATAATTCAGACCGCCGACAACTTAACACTCAGATTTCACAAAATTTCAAAAGGTCGACAGGACAAAGGGCCGACATACAAAATGGCCGACTACGACTAGACATAAGGCTGATAAAATATAAAGACGATAGTCAAAAGAAAGACACCCAAAAGCAAAAGACCGACCGACCATAAGGACGACAAACCGTAAGGCCGATAAACATAAAAATCATTATATCGCAAAATATAGGCTAGTACATGGCTCCTCTCTAAACAACCGTCAAAGAACGAAGTCTACGGGCACTGGTTAGTTGCTACCCGTATAAGGAACAACTGGATCCATGCGACTGGAAATTAAGAGAGTGTCTTAAACACATAAGACCAGTACCAAAATATTGCGAAATGTTTGTCACTACTGTCTAGCATAGCACCCCTGTGTCAACGAGTTTGAGACAAACATCAAAGATGGAAGTCAAAATCAACCAGCATCCTCGCCCACATGCGATGCCGAACGCCAAGAGACAATGCTTGATGCTTCCTTATAAGGTGAGAAATAAGTTCCATGGAGATGACGTGAGTGTACAAAAGGATAAACAGATAGATGGCGTTACCACCATATTTAGCAAAGACATGAAATAAACTGAATGAAGTAGACCCTGGGGCGTAGCGAGGGGGGCGGGGGGTGCGGACCGCACCGGGTGACACCATTTAGGGGGTGACACCAAGGCAAAAAATAGCAAAATATATAGAGAAAAACTTGAGGGGGGGTGCAAATCGAAAACTTGATGAGGGGGGGGGGGGTGCAAATCGAAAGTTTGAGGGGGGGGGGGTGCAAATCGAAAACTTGAAAGTTTGTGCCCGGGAAGGGTCGCTACGCCTCTGGGGGGTGACACCATTAAGTGCCGCACCGGGTGACACCCGACCTCGCTACGCCACTGAGTAGACCGATCACGTGCCTTGACCGGACTACATGTTAAATACCAATACAATTGGAAGTCTTTTCCAATTTCGTAAAGTGCGAATTTCTATCAAAACATTTTATACTATATCCTTTTATTGGAATACAAATGTGCAGAAATTAGTAAGTTTAATTTTTTTAAAAATATTTGGACGACACATCATAGTTAGATACATTGTGTGTAGTATTTTAAGACTATTGAATGTAACTTAGAATATTAAGGGAAAATTAATCAGTCGTGTATAATTGCATATTTTATATACAATGGAATGCAAAGTTATTGAATCACAGATGTTGTTGATGGATTTGTGCAGACAAAAAACAGAAAAAGAGGAGACCTTTACTATTGGGAATGTAGTCAGCGCCAACAATGGAGTTTGTTGTTTTATGAAACTTATCGGCTTTATGTCAAGTCAACCTTTAGATGTCTGCCTTTTAGATGTCGGCATTATTTCCTGTCGGCCTTTTGAAATGTCGGCCTTTTAGATGTTGGCCTTTTAGATTGTCCGGATCCCATTGTTTCATCGTGCAGTCAGCCTAATGGTTAAATCATGATTAAACTGTAGTTGGTTTTCTTAATTAATTATGCTTGTACCAAAATGATTTTCACATGTATCACTGAATGATAGGGTGTGTGATTTGAATAATTAGTAATTTTGTGATCAAATAATTATAATTGCATATTTTTTTTAGCTCCGTGGTCGCAGCAGTGGCGTAGCGAGGTCGGGTGTCACCCGGTGCGGCCCTTAATGGTGTCACCCCCCAGAGGCGTAGCGACCCTTCCCGGGGACAAACTTCCAAGTTTTCGATTTGCACCCCCCCCCCTCAAGTTTTTCTCTATATATTTTGCTATTTTTTGCCTTGGTGTCACCCCCCTAAATGGTGTCACCCGGTGCGGTCCGCCCCCCCCGCCCCCCCCCCCCCCCCGCCCCCCCCCCCCCCCCCCCTCGCTACGCCCCTGGGTCGCAGTAACAGCGCTTAGTGTTTTCCATTTTTAGACTACTGAGCAACTATGCATCGCATTTCTGATTATCAGCAGTAAAGAATATAGGTCTATCTTAAACTACATTAAAAGAGCAAAACAATAACATTTTTTTTCTAGCACCCTTAATACAAACTATAATATTTCTGTGGAGCAATTTCAAGTAAACTTAAAAAATTATACGGCAATGGATAAGTTATAGTATATTTTCATTCGTTTGTTTACATTCCCATAACAAGATGCGAATATTCTATAAATAGAATTATTGCTACATACGGCTGATTCCAGGTCATGTGACTATTATGATTTAACAATGCCAGATTGGCGTTTATATAAAATTAATTTACTCACAAAAAATTAAGTAGGCCTATTACTGCAAGAAGGAAAATAAATATAAAAACATGTTTAAAATATTCTCCTCCTCAAATATAGCCTCTCTTTCTCTTTTTGAGGTAGATAACTTTAATTAAAAAGAACTTTAGTTTAAATGGGGTTGTCCTCGGAGGAAGGTTAAGACTTTCGGGACGATGTGGGACGAAGGGTAGGGGAGGGGTTTTAGAAAGTGTGACGACCCCCATTTGCATTTTAAAATAACGCCATTTTCCTTTTTTTGTGGAAATTTAAAAAAAAGTGAATACTGACAGTAATTATGTAGTATCGTGTCGCTGGCAGAAACTGAAAATTAAGGACTGAGTCTAGACTAGATAATATCTCTTGCATCGAAAAAAAAAAAAAGAAGGTCTATAGAAGTTATGTACATTTTTTTAAAAATTAAGTATTTTCAAGAAATTTTACTATAAAAAAATTGTTACGTTTTTACACAAATTAATAAGAATTAAACTTAAAAATTAGCATTTGAAATTGATACTAATACTAAGATTTCTGAATATGGCTTTAACTTTACACGACTTTCTGGCTTTATTTACGAACCCTGTCACTGGTGAATTAAACAGGAATGAACTTTCCTTAGACCTGACTAAAAGTTACATTTCTGTAGGATTGTATTGTGTTTTGATAAACTTTTTTAAATTTTCACCGCAAGTTTTTATAGGGTATAAAGTAAATCCTACGATACTCTTACAATACTGTATTAAAAATTAATTTAAATTTTCATAACTCACCAAAATGGCACAAGTCACCCAAGTCAAAAGTCAAAGTTTCACTAGCGACGTCACTAGACTAGTGGAGAAGCACTGATCATTGATCATTCATTACATAATAAAATAATACATTTACATCATAGAGTCTAGACCAGATCTATTAATTATTAATATTCTGTCATTTTTTAAATTATTTTTTTTATTGACTTCATAGATTCCATTTGGTATTCACTGTTGGTGAGTCTATCTCCCAGAACTACATAAGAAGAACAAGTTCAGCTTGGGCTTTACTTTAACAGAACATAGATCTAGATCTAGAATTGTAGACTAGATTCATTTTGTATCCAATCCAACTTACTTGGTAAGAAATAGAAAGTTTGTTTAGCTTAATTAATCAAACACTTGATCTAGTATTAGATCTACTTCTACCTACTACAACAGAGTTAGCCTACTAACCTTAAGCCTTAAGCCCTAATTTATTAAGTAGTTAAAAAAGTAACCACTTAAGATTTAGGCACTAAAAGGCAAGATTTAAAAAAAAAAATAGGCCTAATATATTGGTAATCTTAAATTTAACCTATTACATTGTAAATCAGTAGAGTTATAAGTTACAGGGGTAATACTGATTTCCTACAGTGGAATTGTTAAAAACACCTTCTCTCCCTACTTTGGTTGCCTATGTTTTATTGGCAGGTATCGGATCTAGTAGAAACCCAGAGACTGGGACAACACGTTAAGTTAGAAGCTAAGTTTAAAAAAGTACCAAATTTTTATTTAATAGGCCTATAGGGACAGAAATAAATCTGTTTTAAGAAAATGAGCTACTAACCTTATGGCTAATGAACATCCTGAAAATATTGTCTGGCAAGTGACATAGTATAATAAATGAATGACACTATTTGGACTTTGGAAACAAAGAATTTTTTTCACGTTCCACCAGAATTATTTTTTCTTTAAATATTTGATGGTTGAACCCAAACATTGCAACAACCACAAGCCATAGTGTGGGGTCTTAGGTCTACTCTACACTGCATCAGATAATTGTTCAGCCTTCTGAATATTTATATTCAGCTAAATATAGATACAGAGACTGTGAGGGGAGTGGCTGTAGAGTAAACTATACTTTTGCTTTATAGTGGGTATTATAAAATAATGTAAAAATTCCATGTTGGACAACATTTAGAGAGCAGCAGAATTGTAAAACTTCAGTATTTATTTTAGTGCAGGTAACCTTAATTAAATGAAGCTTTTGTTTAGCATTGGCACGCCTCCTTATCTGTTGTTTTAGATGTTTTGTTTTGTGCAGTTTAGATAACTAAGGAAGACCTAATGATCCATAAGGCAGATAAAGTAGTAGAAATTTGTTTCTTGAGCACTTTACTTTCTCCAACACGAGTTAAGTATCCATCTGAGCGGGTGGACTCACGGACGTCCCACTGACAATCGAGTCCGTGATCCAAACTCGTGACTTTCAGAGCCAACTGCCCCGACCACTTGACCACCCCGCCCCCCTAAGAAAGAGTAACACTATAAGGAATGAACTTGTGTCAACTATAAACCTATTTTTTTTTAATTCTTTTAGGTAAAGACAGCATGACTTCCATTCACCCTGGTGGTAATCCATCTGCCCCTCCACCTTATGACAGTGCTTATCCCCCAACACAGGGCTACGGCCCCCCACCTCCAGCTTATGGCTCAGGTCCTGCCTATCCACCTCAAGGCTATCCACCACCTCCACAAGGATATGGCCCACCACCACCCGCTGGCGGCTACGGACAACCGGGGTACTATCAACAGCAGCCGTACGGGTACGGCCATCCTGCTGGGACATATCAACAGCCACCAGCTGGTGCCTATCAACAACCACCCCAACAAGTGTAAGAGATTTTATCTTGAGCTTGATTGTTTGTGTTTAACTGACTAACCTTGTCATTGAAACATTTTGATCTCCTATTGTTTTATCGTTCACATAAAAGTTTATCTGACTCTGGACATAAAGAACTGAAATATCAGTTACAAAACAAGTCGTACAGTAATATTCATGAAAAAGAATATCTTTACTATACATTATACTTTTTTTAAACTAATAGACTAATGGTTCAGAAACCACTATACACTAAAAACTAGATTTTTATAAAACATTTATATATGACAAAGTACCCCATCATCATAAATTTGATGCCTAAAAAAAGATAAAATCATCAGTATGTAACTGTATGTGAAAAAATCAGACCATTTGATGTACATCATTATTTACCTGGTATTTCTGTGATACTTTTTAATTAGATAATTTGTTCTGAAAACATGTATAATGAAATACTTCATTTTCACAGAGTGTATGTGCATGAAGATAGACATAAAGACCGTGACAATTCTGCAGAAACTTGTTGCCTTCTGGCCTTATGCAGTGCTCTTGTATGCTGCTGTTTATGGGATTAACAAGTCAAGAAAGTTCTAGAGCAGCTAAGGATGGTTTTTTGTTACAGGAGAACTTCAGATCCAAAAACTCATGCAAGCTCTTTCACTGGTGGTGTGGGTTACTATTTTTGAACATGCAGATTTTTTTTTTGACCAATTCAACAGGCAGAATATTTATAAAGTCAATGTTACAGATCATTTATTAATTTAATGAGATTTTTAATAATTGTATTTTTGTAAATATTTTTATATCGACTTTATAGAAGACAAACTATGTCCAAATCAAAATCTCCAGAAAATGAACTTGTAGATTTCATTCCCATAATTATTAAAAATAGTGCAAAATATCAATTTAAAAATAATTTGATTCTAGTTTTCTGATATTTTACATCTGTGCACTGGCAGGTTGTGTTATTGTCCATATAAGTAAAAATGTACATTAATTTTCCAAAAAATTGGACATACTGTGTCTTCTGTACAATTGATATATCTGAAGATCTGCAAGAATGCTGTTAAAAGTGCAAGTCATTCATTTTGTCAATTAATCTTTTTCTTTTATTTAAATTTATTGTTTATATCTCTTAATTTTCATATGTTTATTTAATGTACACGGTAAAATTGATCTTTACAACTAATTTTAAATAAATATTTTTAATAGGGTATTTTTATTAAGTTTCGTAGGTTTTTTTCTTATAAGGGAGTTAACTCTGTAAAAATTGTTAATAACCAAATTATTAAAAAAAAAGTGTAGTATTACGTTAAAAGTGTTTTTAATTACATTTTTAACTTCATTAAACATATTTTCACTATGAAAAGTGTTTTAAAATAGTTTTAGCTAACATTGTTTAAAGTTTAGTTTAAAGAAACATAACACTTTTTTACTTCTGAATTTAGTTAATTTAGTCTTAATTGTCACCCATGTAGATTACAGTGTACTTAGTTTTTTATTCCTAGCATAGAACAATTGTGTAAATTATTTATCTATATAGATTTATTTATTATTAAGTTTTAAGGAATTCTACAAACTTGACAAAAAAGTGCATCATCGCTGCAATTTAATGAATCAAAAAATTTATTTATTATTACATTTATATTTTAAAATTTCCTAATAGAAGTTTTAGCACAAGTAATGTATCATCAGCAATATCTGCATCTCTATTTCATACATTTTTAAAAATGTATTCAGACATGCCTACCACTTGTGATCACTTTAATCAACAGTTTTTCTTAAATAGCAAACATTTAAGCCTCCATGCAGAATATTAAAATATACAATTTAAAAGTCTTTTAATAGCCTATCAGAGCATAGTGTCGAATTCACAAATTATGAATAGTTGATAAGTAAAATAAAACAATTAGATAGCGGCGCATGCTAAGTTAATTTATATAGGCTAAAACATGTTTAATTTTTTTTAGATTCTTCAGCTTGCCTCCCTTGTTTCCAAATTGCTACTTTCTGTGTAACACTAAATAGTACACCCTGTCCTGGGATGTACATCATTGACTCATTAGAATCCCATTAGAATTTTTCTTCTTCCCACCATATTTTTACAGTTACAAGTGTAGGCGTAACTTTGTGAAACAACTCTGTACTTGGTAGGCATGTCTGTAATATTATTGCCAGAAAATCACAAGCACATTGAATCAAACTTTTCCACATCACATTTGCAGCCACAGCATTCAAAGTTACAGGAATTCATGTAAAAGTGAGTTTAAGATCCGAGGTTTGCCACCTTCATCAGATGGGTTAGCTTTACGTTAGATTAAAAATTGTCTTACAATACATGTTAAATTACAGTGTCTCCCAGTACTCAAAGAGTGTTAGATAATTTTACAACATGTTGATCTCATTATTCCTCACAGCTGGCATTAAGTAGGAAGTGTGTTGATAATGTTACAAATGGTCAAATCTAATTTTACTTTTGTTGAAAGCATCTCTATTCATGTTTGTTTAAGTGTGTGCATTAATGTTGATATAAAAAGTGTCTTAATTAATGCTAGTTGAAAGTGTGTAAATTAATGTTACAGATAATCTGTTGTTTGAGCTCAAACAGAAAATGTGATCAAATCCTTTTTATTTAAGCAATCCACCTTTTACATAAACAAGATTAAAAATGAAATATATGATACAATAGTATCAAGAGCTTTACCTATTATTATTTTAGCATAATATTAATTAGTAAAGAATTTTACTGTATTAATTTTAGTAAAATTTACCAGTACGTTTGCTTTATATTTTTTTATATACATTATTTACCAAAATGTGCATTATGTTTTTTTTTTTTATGCAACATTCCTTCTGTCATTAATGTAATGTGTGTTTCAAGTCTAAAACATGTAAAACATTCATGTGAAAATTGGCTTTGACTTTGTACATAAAACACTTCTTGTATAGGTGCTCTTGTGGTTAATGCTTTTAGCTCAGTATGCAGTAGCTATCCTTTTATTGTAGTAAAAGTTCTGCAGCTATATATCCCTTGGGTAAAGTAACTTAACTGAGGTATGCTAGTCTTCACTACATAGAATCAAAATATTTTACAATAAAAACATCTGGGCTAAATATCTTTAAAAACTTGTTCTCAAAATTTGAATTTCCCTGACTGTAAAATCGCCTAAGCTATGTTATGTAAATTCATTATAATTATTAAAATTAGTTAAAAATACAAGCAATAACAGAAGTGGTTGTTAAAATTTCCTTTGCAATATTTATAATAGTATTTCATGCCAATACATTCTTCCCCTATTTTTGTTTGGTGTTGTTGCGTATAGAAATTTTCAACAACTTTTCAATATCCTGGGTGGTGGACTTTCATACAAGTTGGGTTTTTTACATTCAGATTAATAAAAATGTTAATCAAATACTAATTTGTGTAGCCAAAAGATTGTTGTAAAGTTATCTAGCATGAACCCTATTGGAACGTCTCAGTGTTGTTGGCTCAGGAAATTTTGTACATTTTTATTTAAATCCACACTTGTACATTTTAACATTTTTTTTTTGTTTGCAATAAAATAGACAGATTAACACCTTGAGTCAAGTAAAGTGTGTTCTTTTTTTATAACATTCCATGTCATGTTCAGAAACATCAGTTCTACAGTGTGTCAAATTTAACTAGATCATGCAAGCCTCTAGTGGTATTTCTACCAGTATCAAACACAAATTGTGAATAATTTAGAATAAAACTTTTCAGCTGTTTGATTACATATAACTTATATTAATTTGTAAGGCATTCGCATTTTTACGTTCCCTTTTAATTATCATTTTGAGTTCTTTATCATAGATATTGAACTGTTGACAAAAGTGATCCACAGTTCGACAAAAAAAATCACTTCATACAGTTTTTTCTTTCGATCTGTTAGGAAGATTTCTAAACTCTGGTCATGTACTTGTCTTACACTTCACGTAACAACATAATTATGTATGGTGTGGAAATGCGTGTGAAGTAAGACAGGCCCAAGGGATTTTGGGCAAACATGGTTTAAGAACCAGCTCATCAAATATCAAACAAAATGCAAACATCACACATCATAACTTGTCTCTAGCTGGTGTTGCATGTTACGTTACATGCAGTTGCAGAGTCAAAGTCCAGTGAAGTGTTGAGTTCCTAAATGGCCGTGTCATTTTCTGTTATGCACAATTAAACGCTGGCTTTGGATATACCAGCAAATAAAACAAAAACAATATTGTTTTTGAAATCTGGACAAGATAAGGGCAAGGCTGTGAAAAAAAGGCACTTGGAAAAAGAAAGGGTAAGACCATCAGGAACAAGTAAGGAGAAACTTACAAGAATAAATACTGGCCAGAGGCATGAACTCGATTTCAGAGTATAGCTGCACAAAAAAAGCAAAAATATTAATTATTTTAATTAATTAATTTTTTCAAGGCCGTAAGGTTTTTTATTTTTTCAAATTTTTTCTTAGGCCTATATCTAACTTACTTAAAAAGTATTAATTTATAATGTGAGGGCCCTTTCAAGATGGGCCAATTAATTTTTTTAATTTTATTATTTTAAAATATATGTTCATTTTTTTATTGATTAATTTTTAAAATTATTTTTATTTTTAGGCATATTTCTAATTTTTAAAAAGTATTACTTTAATATGCCTTTTAAGGTGGGCCAATTAGGGCCTAATTATTTATTTATTTTCTTTTTATGTTTTTGATTTTTTTTTTGGAATACATTTTCAATTATTTTTTTTATTATTGATTAATTTTTAAAATCATTTTTGTAAATTATTTTTAAAAATGTATATGTAGTTGTCGCCCTTTATTTTCTAGATCTAGTTTTTGTGTCCAATATTATTTTTTTCAATTGTTACATGATATCATGTTTTTATTTTATGCTTAAGTTAAGCTTATTATTGTTATTTTTGTGTGTGTTTGTCCACAGCCGAGATAGGCATTCGCTTAGGGTGTCCTCAACACATTGATAGGAGTTCATACGCCCAGGCGGAATCTTAGTTCATACGCCCAGACGGTCATCAACACATTGATAGGAGTTGATACGCCCAAGCGGTCATCAGCAAGTGAATCGGCGGTCGAACGGTCCTCGACACATCAACAGGAGTACACACTAAGCTCGTCCTCAACACATCAATCGTCCACAAGTCCAGACGGTCCTCGACACATCGATGAGTTCACACACTCGAGCGCTCGAGTGGTTTACAACACACCGACAGGAGTTATACACCCAAATCATCGGAACACATCAACAGTTGTTTCTCTAAGCGTACGAACAAACATTTGCGGCGAATGCCACTTTCCCACTTAAAAAAAAAATATGCCAAGATAGGAACATTTAAGCACATTTCAACCCATCGATAGGAGTTCATACGCCCAGGCGGAATCTTAGTTCATACGCCCAGGAGGTCCTCAACACATCGACAGCATCGTGTGCCTAAACGGTCCTCAAAATATCGACTGTTCAAACGCCCCAGGAGGTCCTCAACACATCGATAGGAGTTCATACGCCCAGGCGGAATCTTAGTTCATACGCCCAGGCGGTCCTCAACACATCGATAGGAGTTCATACGCCCGAACGCCTGCACACATCGACAATTGTCCTCGACACATCGAACTGATATTTGCACAGAAAATACAAATAGAACGAGAGCGGACGTGCAAGACGTCATATCGAAAAACGCGCTTTATAAAAGCGAGGTAACCAGAAAAATGCGCAAGCGAAAAATGCCAAAACTGTTCGCAAGGGAATATTTTTTAAAAGGTAATTTAAGAATGATCATAACATAATAAAACAGTTTCCCAAGAAATATGACCAAAACTAACTTGTGTTAGTATAATGAGTTTGAATTTACGCATTTTTACAAGCTTTCATTTAACTCACTTCCTCGCCAGTCGTCAATCTGTCTGTCTTTTCCTAAATATTAGTAAAGGTATCCAATAGATACTAAAGTAAAGTGAACCACGCTTTTCTTTAAAGTTATTTAAACAGTAGTGTATAATTTATTTTCTCCTTTTTAGTGCATTATTACATAAAAGCTTGTTATTAAAACGTTTTTTTAATGAAATTTTTTACAAGCTTTTATTTAACTCACTTCCTCTGTCGTCAGTCTAGATCGAAACGCCCGACGAAATTACTTGCACTTCTAACTGACAGATACGGTTCGTAGTTGGAACATGGGTCAAGACATGAAGACAAGGCAACATGACATTAAATTTGACTTAATGGATGCCTAATTAATTTTTTATGAATTAATTAAAATTTTGACCAAATTAGTATACAGTTATATCCAACTACTCCACACGCGTCATCACGTTCAATAGCGCGTCATCACGTTCGATAATCGCGCAATGGTTTTTAGTCATGTAACTCTATTGTAAATAAAAACATGTAAAGTACTAAAAAATCTTTTTCATAAAAAACGTTTTAATAACAAGCTTTTATGTAATAATGCACTAAAAAGTTGAAAATAAATTATACACAACTATTTAAGCATGGGTCTCGTAAATATTAATAAAGGTATCCAATAGATAATAAAGTGACCCGCGCTTTTCTTTATAGTTATTTAAATAGTAGTGTATTTAAAGAAACTCTTTTATTTTCTACTTTTTAGTGCATTAGTATATAAAAGCTTGTTATGATTTTTTTTGCTAGCTTTTACTTAACTTACTATCTGTCGTCAGTCTAGATCGGAACGCCCGCGTGAAATTTCTGGCACTTCTAACTGACATATTCGGTTCAAAGTTAGCACGTAGGTCAAGACATGAAGACAATGCATTCTGAAATTAAATTTGACTTAATTGGATGCCTGATTAATTTTGTATGAATTAATTAAACTTGTGCCCAAATTAGTATGCTGTCTTACCCAACTATTCCGCACTATTATACGCGCGTTATCACATTCATTAGGTGCGCGATGATTTTGAGTCATGCAGCTCTATTGTAAATTTACTGAAAATAAACCGGGAGTGATCTACCCTAAACTTTCTAGAATATTCTTATATAAAACTACGGGGGATGGCAACTCGGGATAAAGACAATATTTTAAATCCATTTTAATTACTTAAACTTTTCAAAATAAAATAGAATCTCGTAGAAAAAAAAGAATTGCACACCAAGTGAACGCCAAATAAAATGTGTATAATAGTGCGGAATATTATTAGTAAATTCACATGCGTTTTTTTGAGAATTCGGAAATAGCCTAAATTACTACTTCCGGTCAACGGAAGTTAATCAAAATTAGAAAGAAGGCAGAGAGTTTGATCTTTTACTTATATGTTAAATTTCTTTTATCTTTCTGAAATACTACTCAAGTTATTGGCTTTTGTAAATTGAAAGTAGAAAAAGTTCCACTTCCGGTTATCGGAAATCGCCAAAAAGTTGATACGGATCTACACATTTCCGTCAACATGATGTTTCTGCAACATGTCTCGATCAACTCCTGATGTTCCTGCAACATGTCTCCATCAACTTGATGTTCCTGCAACATGTCTCCATCAACTTGATGTTGCTGCGACATGTCTCCATCAACTCTTGATGTTTCAGCAACATATCTCCGTCAACTTGATGTTCCTACAACATGTCTCCATCAACTTGATGTTGCTGCGACATGTCTCCATCAACTCTTGATGTTTCAGCAACATATCTCCGTCAACTTGATGTTCCTACAACATATCCCAATCAACCTGATGTTCCTGCAACATGTCTCCATCAACTCCTTATGTTTTAGCAACATGTCCCCATCAAGTTGATGTTCCTGCAACATGTCCCCATCAACTCCTGATGTTTCAGCAACTTGTCCCCATCAACTCCTTATGTTGCCGCAACATGTCTCCATCAACATTTCACACGCGCTACCACAGCCTCTTGTCCTACAAAGAACAACCATTTATCATTCTTGTCCCTACATGAAAACGCCGTAAATAAAACCTTGATGTCTTTACAATACCACCCTGCCAGTGAGCCATTCTTTATTATCTCCCTCCCAGTTGGGTAAATACTTGAAATTCTGACCTTGGTTGCTAATACAGACTTCTACTGTTTACAAATAGAGTAATTCCATCTTTTATCGCATTGTTAAAAAAAAAAACAGTAGAAGATAGCGTAATGTTGGGTGGCAGTTTGTGTTTTTTATTGTCGCGGTTTAGCGGGGGTGTTTAACCAAGTTCAAGGTCAGTGAAAAAAACTTCTAAGGGGTCGGAGGTTTGGACTTTTGTTACAACATATGACGATGGGCGATGAAAATGTGTGAAAGTGGGTAGGGGGGGGGGGGGAGGTGGAAAAATCACCTCGTTTATGGATGCCCGATAAATACTACTGAATAATATTATGAAAGAAAACAAGTTACGAAATATTTGGGCATATTAAATCATTAAAAAATGTTCGTAAAAAAAATCTTGGTCGGCTGGGAGGGTGGGGGGGGGGGGGGGAGTGGAGAGGAGAAGAATCAATTAGGGCCTTCTGGGAAATGGACTAATAGCCTATGGGAAATGGACTACTGGTGTGTGAGGAGGGTGGGGGTTGTGGAAAATAGACAGTGATGTGGTAAAATGGACTGTTGGTGTGTGGGTGTTGTGGTAAAATGGACTGTTGGTGTGTGGGTGTTGTGGTAAAATGGACTGTTGGTGTGTGGGTGTTGTGGTAAAATGGACTGTTGGTGTGTGGGTGTTGTGGTAAAGTGGACTGCCGCTGTATGAAAGTGTGTCACATCGGTATCTCAACCCCCTTTTTGGATGTACGTAAATCTGTCACGTAATCTGTCACGTTGTTACCCAATCTGTCACGTGAAAAAGCCCCCCCCCTCTCCCTTCCTCCCCCAAAATAACCAAGCAGAAACGATAACAATAGAGGTTTAGATAAAGCTGACAGTGTTTTGCCATCATTAATTATTCCTTGTTGAGAGTTGGCACCAGTCTGGCTAGAGTAATGCCGCGGGGGTAGGGTGTAGGCCCCAGCGCGGGGGTAGGGTGTAGGCCTCAGTCCTATTGTTTATTATGAAAGGTGAGAACAGGTGTGTGTATGAGAGGTGAGGGGGGGGGGTGAAAGGGGGGATTTATCAGGCCCTATCACACTCGCATGTCGTAGCCTATCGTGACTCAATTAGTCCCAAACTAGCATCAGTTTGGTGAAAAAAAAAACCTTGCTCCGGAGTTCTATTCAAATCACCCGTTCAACTTTAAAGGCCTATTCTAATCATCGTTTTCAAAGACAGGGCCTAGGCCTAATTAATTTTTCTAAAAAAATTAGGCCTAATTAATTGGCTGTTTATTGTCCAGTTTCTGTGTTGGCGAAACTCGGCGTCGTTACTGACTACATATGCGGACCAAAAGTGTTCCATCCATCACTGACTCACCCGTCATGGCCCCACAGCGCGCGTGTTGGATGATCTTAATTCTACTAGATCTAGGCACGACCTCGTTCTCCACGGCTGCGCCAGTCGGTGAGTAACTTTTTTTATGTTGTTGTTGTGTAGGGTGGGTCTAGGAAACCATCTATTTTAGGTAGAAGTTTATCCCGGGGGTGGGGAGGTAGGGCGAAATATCTAGATCTGGTGAAACCAGAGAGGAGTGTGGGTGAAAGGTAGACCCTGATGTCAGACCGATTTTAGTTGTATAAGCTAGTCCATAGTCCCTCTGGGGCACTAGGACATAGACCTGTCGTCCCACTAGGACATAGATCTAGACCTGTCGTCCCACTAGGACATAGTCCTCTCCCACAAGGACATATACCTGTCTTCCTATTACGACATATGCCTATTGTCGGCTATTGTCCTACTTGGAATGGTTTCGACAACTTCTAGGTGCTGCATAGGCCACATTTATTCTTAAACTCTAGATCCATACTTTCCCAAGACTCTGTTGTCCATGTTTCTAAATGACTCATAATGAAGGTCTTCATACATTCGAGATCAATACATTGAGCATATAAATCTTTATATTTTATATACCTCTATATTGTGCTTAATAAACAAGTTTCAAAACCTAATACGATAAGAGCTGTTAAAACAGTAGCACAATATGGGTTATTTTACAAATATAGGGGATAGAACTATTGACAAATGTATAAGGGACATAACTATTTTTTTTTTTTTTTTACAAATATATAGGAGACAGAATAATTTATAAATCTATAGCAGACAAAATCGTTTACAAATATATATGGGACAGAATAATTTACAAATATACAGCAGACAGAATAATTTACAAATATATAGGAGACCGAATAATTTATAAATATATAGCAGACAAAATCGTTTACAAATATATATGGGACAGAACAATTTACTAATATATAGAAGACCGAATAATTTCTAAAATAGAGACTGAAATAGATTAATCACCAAGAAAAACAATTTTTCCCCCACTGATATTATCATATACAACCGACATCACCCCACATCCCCCCACTATTGTAAATCTGTATCAGTCCTCACAAGCCGATGATGTAAATGTAAAACTAAAGCGAACACACAACTGACGCTATAAATTACGTGTCTGAGGCGAAAAAAAAAATCCCCCCATCCCAACATAAAAACAAACATATCTCCTCCCCATTAGAATATATATTATTAACACAAAACGTATGGCTGCCACACATATAGGCCCTACCGTGCTTTATCCTCAAGACCCAAGCCATCACATGGTTACCCTAACCTGCCCTTCCCCCCCCCCCCCTCCCACGCACCCTACCATTCACCATGTCAGTAATGCTAGTTATGTGCGACCCTTGTACTCTTTTTAATTTTTGGAAAATATTAAATAGAAGAAGCTCCACCATAGAAATTTTAAACTAAATTAGGCCTAAGGGGCCAAAATCTCTGGAGTCTCGTTTGGAGCAGCTGGTATTTACTTAAAAAACTATATCATCACACATCAGCCAGATAATTTTTTTTATCAAAAAGCTAACATCGGATAAGGTATCTATATTTACACTTTTAGTGCTGGATCTTAATAAGAAACTGTAAAAAGAGCACTCCAAAATAAACTAGAAGAAAAAGCCAGGATGGCATAATACAAATAATTTTGACAAAAAAAAAAAATAAAAGAATAAAAATCAGTATGGAATACCATAAGATAGTTTTTTTCAAAACAAAATAAAAGCCAATATGGCATACCACATTTTATTTTTACAAAACCCAATAAAAGCCAATATGGCATACCAGAATTCATTTCAACACTCTCAGGCAGACGACGTTCGTCCGTGTCATTACAACGGATTACAGTATAGGTCACGTGGTCTCTGGAGCTTTTTTTAGCACCAGCCATGAGTCACAAAACATACATTTATTTTTGGCCCCATTTATTTTTACCCTCACCCCTTGGCGCGGATGAATTTATTCAAACTTAATTAGGCCTAATTAGTGCTGACGCAAAATGTCATTCTTCAAGCAGTTGATTAATACCTTTGTTTATAAAACGTCGCAACTCACACGTATACGTGTGACTAATGAGACATTCCGATCCCCGACCCCGACCCCCCCCCCACACACACCATCTACCCCCTCCACCGACCCCTTCAGCTCAGCCTGCATTCCTCTCTCTATGCAATTGGGGGTGATAAACCTGTAAACATAAGATTTTAGCTTTTAGTTTAATTATATGGATTGACGAGACAGATATAAAAAAATGAATATATGTTGATGTGTGTGAATGTATATATATATATATATATATATATATATATATATATATATATATATATATATATATATATATATATATATATATATATATATATATATATATATATTCATGGGGAGGGGGGGTGACTCCACGAAGTGAAGCACCGGGTGACACCCGACCTAGCAACGCCACTGGGTCCCAATATTTTATAAAGACATGAATTATAAACATACTGCAGATTTGTTAACTTTCGATAGAACTATATTGTTCAAAATTATGTTACTACATGTTTGTTATCTCTCTCCACTCCCCTCCCCCCCCCACACACACACCCGCATGTCAATCCCAAGATTCTCCGTGCCTGTTGTCGCAGTTATGTTTAGGAATCCAGATTTTTTTTCCTCCTTACCAGTTCCATTTGGGATAAACATCGAGTCGAGGGACGGCACTAAACTCTACTTGACCGGTGGCAATCAGCGACACACAGAACATTTAATGACACTTGAAAGAAAATACATTTTTTCTTGAGTAACCATCTCAAACAAAACTATTTCAGAATATTGCAAAAAATAAGACTTTTAAAAAAAGCCAATTTGGCAATTCTGTCGCATGAAACCAATGACCTTTTAATTTTTTTGCTGGCTGCCAGGATATATTTTCCTCAACCAAAATATTTTGGTTTAAACAATGATAAGGACGTCTAATTTAAGGTTGACGTCTTGACGTCACGTTCTCCCCCACAGCTATGTTTCAACAAAGCTATAAATAGACATGACTCGCGTATTTTATTATGTACACAACGAGGGTCAGCTAAGGAGACTGCATGAAATTCCACGATATCGTTTTCTTTTTCTTTTTACATGAAAAAGAAACAAACCAAACGAAACAAAACAAGACAAGCCCACAAATAGAATATAACTTTGGCATTATGTAGGTATACACATACTTTATGTGAACAATTCATTGAAACATTTTTATACCAATAACTGAATATGGGGTAGTTAAGAAAAGGCGTGACAAACAAACAGTAGGCCTATATCGCCTTTACAATTGTTGTTTTTAATAAAAAAAATTAAAATCACCTAAATAAAAAAAATATTATTTCACCCCGGAGATGAAACATTTTTTTCCCCAGATTGACTCCACTATTACTTTCTCCAAACCACCTCTATGGTGATAAGAACAAAAATACAACGGAAAACTGTGCAAATAGAAAAATACGCAAATACAAATTAATGATATTAATAGTTAGTAAATTAATACATTTAAATTTTGTCATATTTCGCGTAAAAATGTTTTATTATGCTCCAATATACTCTGTGGTAATTCTTTGTTAATGTCTATAAATGATCGATTTAAGAGAACAAAAATGCCTTTGCGCACTTTTTCTGTGCACAGTCTTCCGTTGCGCATCTTTCCGGTCACCAACAAAAATACGTAATAGGCCTGCTTGTTAGGCCTACAGTTTGCTACACTAACGTATACAAAAAACACACAGTCAGGAACACACGCACACACACGCACACACACACATACACTCATACAGACAGACAGACAGACACACACATATATATATACATATATATATATATATATATATATATATATATATATATATATAGAGAGAGAGAGAGAGAGAGAGAGAGAGAGAGAGAGAGAGAGAGAGAGAGAGAGAGAAAGAGAGAGAAATATATAGATATATGTACATATATATTGTTTAATTTTGCTACCGCTACAGGACTCCCACCTATGAGTATTTCAAGTGAAGGTAGCCACGGTAGCACTGAGTCTAGTGGCTACATGTCGACTCACTCTACTGGCTACCGCACTCTTCAACCGAGTGGATATAGCACTAACGTTTCTAGCACTAGCGTCAGCATGCTTCAGCCTGGAGCTAGTGTCAATAAAATACTTGAAACTAGCGTCCACATCTCAGTAGAACCTAGTGCTAGCATCCACTACACCACAGAACCTAGTGCTAGCATCCACTACTCCACAGAACCTAGTGCTAGCATCCACTACTCCACAGAACCTAGTGCTAGCATCCACTACACCACAGAACCTAGTGCTAGCATCCACTACTCCACAGAACCTAGTGCTAGCATCCACTACACCACAGAACCTAGTGCTAGCATCCACTACTCCACAGAACCTAGTGCTAGCATCCACTACACCACAGAACCTAGTGCTAGCATCCACTACTCCACAGAACCTAGTGCTAGCATCCACTACTCCACAGAACCTAGTGCTAGCATCCACTACTCCACAGAACCTAGTGCTAGCATCCACTACTCCACAGAACCTAGTGCTAGCATCCACTACTCCACAGAACCTAGTGCTAGCATCCACTACACCACAGAACCTAGTGCAAGCATCCACTACACCACAGAACCTAGTGCTAGCATCCACTACCCTGTCGAGACTAAACTCAACACCATCAACCAGACAAGCGACTACAGTTTACTTGAAGACAACACAACAACCAACTATCTTTTAACCTCACAGGAGAATAACACAGGCCTTGGTGAGTAGTCAATTTTTTTTTAAATATATCCTCAACACAACAATTCAGCCCCCCCCCCCCCCCAATTATGTGACAACAAATTTTACCTCAGCCATTTGATCTGTTTGGCTTAGGTCACAAGTACCTTGATCAGACCAGGTCACAAGTACCTTGATCAGACCAGGTCACAAGTACCTTGATCAGACCAGGTCACAAGTACCTTGATCAGACCAGGTCACAAGTACCTTGATCAGACCAGGTCACAAGTACCTTGATCAGACCAGGTCACAAGTACCTTGATCAGACCAGGTCACAAGTACCTTGATCAGACCAGGTCACAAGTACCTTGAGAGGTGTCCCATTACTCCCTAATTTACACCCCCACATGACCCAACTCCCACGCATTCAGCAGGTACATCTGAACCATGCTGTACAAAGTGCGCTGCCTTTCTTATCTCTTACCCACCTGCACTGAACAGAGAAGATCGAGGTGATAATAAGTGAGGTTTCCCGAGTCCATTCAGCTAAAATTAGTACCCGGCAAATCTGTTTATGTACGCATTAAAAAATACAAACCTGCAACAATAAAAAAAAAATCTTATGCTTAAAATTGACAACTATTTTTGCATGTGGAAATTCCAAGAATTTTAAACAAAATTTTGAGGTGTAATCTTGGAATTCGAACACCCTACCTCACTTTTACTTTCAGTGAAAGACAGAGGCGTAGCGACCCTTCCCGGCGCCCGGGGACAAACTTTCGATTTGCACCCCCCTCAAGATTTCGATTTGCAACCCCCCCCCCCTCAAACTTTCGTTTTTCACCCCCCTCAACCTTTCAATTTATTTTTCTAACCCATTTTGGCGCCCCCTAAGGTCGGCGCCCGGGAACATATGTCCCCCCCCCCGCCCCCCCCCCCCTCGCTACGCTACTGGTGAAAGAATAGTTTCGAAAATTAGTTAACACGTACTTTTTTTACTTTCTCGTATATACAAAAAATCTCGACTTTTACACCTCCCTGAGTCGGAAAAACATTATTTTGCAATCTTGTCCGTATGTCTGTGTGCGTGTATATGTGTGTGTGTGTGTGTGTGTGTGTCTGTAAACACGATAACTTGAGTACCGTTACAGCTAGGTTGATGAAATTTCATATATAAGTATTTTATCAAAATCGTAGATACGTATCAACTTTTGAGCGATTTCCGATAACCGGAAGTGGAATTTTTCCTACTTTGAATTTTTCAAAAGCCTATAATTTAAGTACTATTTCAGATGGATAAATGAAATTTCACGTGTAAGTAAAAGATCTAATCCTCTACTTTCTATCAATTTTTTTTTACCGGAAGTAGTTATTTACGCTATTTCCGATATCTCAAAAAGCGCATGTAAATTTATAACGTATTAATAATATTCCGCACTATTATGCACATTTTGTTTTGGCGTTCGCTTGATGCGCAATTCTTTTTTACTACGAGATTCTATTCTATTTTTAAAAGTTTAAGTACTTAAAAATCATGTCTATATTCCGAGTTCCCATCCCCTGTTGTTTTATATAAAAATATTCGAGAAAGTTTAGGGGAGATCACTCCCGGTTTATTTTTAAAGCATCACGAAAAGAGTTCTTTTAAGGTTAAAAAAAATAAAAATAAAAATGCGAATCTTTAAAACCCTTCCGGAAAAAAAAATCTTTCATCTTCATCGTGAAATCTACCCAGTTTTTACTGTCGCGCTACGCCGGGTTAATTGTCTGTTGCATGTCTAGAAAATATTCGAAATTATTTTTTGTTTAACTGGCGAATTTATGTCTCTGAGTATTTTGAGATAGCTTGATGATGCATTTAAAAAAAAAAGGAATTTAAAAGATATGCAGGAAAGTACACGTAAAAAAAGCGAAAAATAGATCTAGGCCTAATTTAGATAAGAATTATTTTTTTGTGTCGGTGCTAAATGGTGTGTTTTCTAGGACATTCGGTTCAGTTGGTTTCTGGGAACTGTTTTAACTTGCTATCGGATGCTGCTGGTGTTTCGTGGAACTGTTTTAACGCTGTGTGATTTGGGGAAGGGGCTGATTTAGATGATGTGTGTGTTGGGGGAGGGGCTGATTTAGATGGTGTGTGTGTTGGTGGACGCTGTTTTAGATGGTGTCTAATTGGGGGGGGGGGTGTTTTAGATAGTTTGTGTGTGTGTGGGGGGGTGTGGTGATGCTGTTTTAGATGGTGTATGTGATGAGGGGGGCTGTTTTAGATAGTGTATGTGTTTGTGTGTGTGTGGGTGTTGCTGGTTTAGATGGTGTGTGTGTGTGGGGGGGGGTGCTGTTTTAGATAGTATGTGTGGAGAGGGGGTGTTGGTGGTTTAGATGGTGTGTGTGTGGGGGGGGGGCGCTTTTTTAGATGGTGTCTTTTGGGGGTGCTGTTTTAGTTTGAAGTAGAGCGCTGTTTTAGTTGTACACACAATGTGTCATACCGTTGCTGTTATCACACATGTAACCCAATTATTACCATATCCCATATCTAATAAACATAAACCTTCCCGAATAACAAACATAACAAAATGTTTTAACTCATCCAAAATAATTCACATAAAATTTACGCATTTGAATAAAATATGTTTATTACCATTAGTATTTTATCATTTCCCCGTGGATATTACCGCAAGTTTGCTCTACTATTGTGTTTTAATTTGGTTTGTAGATTTTTACACGTAAAGTTCTTAGCAGAAAATAAATCAATAGTTTCCTTTAATTATTTTAATAGTTCATTTGAGAGTTTATTACTCGGTTAAGTCCCTTTCACCACTAACCTATTTTAAAGCCCCCCAAAAAAGTAGGTTTTAATCAATGTTTTTTTGTAAAAAAAAAATTCTGATTAATGCTCTATTTTCTTTTTATCTTTATATCAGTACTGTTCCTACATTATTCTACCATTTCCTTACTTATAAATACCCTAACCTCTCGTGAAAATCTCTCAATCTAGAACGCTCGACTGACCTAGAACTTTGTCCCATCGGTTATTTCCCTGTAGACGAGTTCCGTCCCTTTCATTGACTTGGTAATCTCCCAGCCCTCGTGTAATTTCTCCACAAGACAGACAACCGGTGGAATACGTAATGAAGCGAGCTCGGCTTCAATCTACATCACTCTACAGACAGACTTTTTTCTCCCTATACAGACTTTTTAATGTACAGACATTTTACTCCCCGCACTGACAGACTTTTTACTCACTATACAGACTTTTTAATATACAGACATTTTACTCCACGCACTGACAGACTTTTTACTCACTATACAGACTTTTTAATGTACAGACATTTTACTCCCCGCACTGACAGACTTTTTACTTTTTATGCAGACTTTTTAATAAACTGACGTTTTACTCACTGTACAGACTTTTTAATCACTATACAGACTTTTTTATGTACAGACGTTTTACTCACTGTAATACTTTTTACTCACTATACAGACTTTTTAATATACAGACTTTTTACTGAATGTACTGAATGTACAGACTTTTCATACTCACGTTTACTTTTTGTGTATGCTTCCTCTCATTGTGGTTTTAGAGGAGGAAAACTATAAAGGTGCAAGAAGAGGTTTATTAAAAGAAACTAGTTATTAGAGAGAGATCGTTCTTTGAGATCGATAATGGTTTATTTGGAGACACAATACATAAAGAATTTTAGGTGGTTTATTTAGAGAGTAGAGGGGACATAAGTGGTTTATTGAGAGAAGCTAGAGGTGGGGTTTGTTGTTATATTTTAGAGGTCTCTTGACGTGCGGCTAGTACTTAGATTTGAGTTTTAAAAATGTTTTTTTTTAAATCTGTTTTCTATGTACATTGTGTTGCTAGACAGAGGGTGAATGTATGTGTGTATTTGAAGGGATAGGGTGGGGAAATGGGTGGGATATTGACGTCAAAGCAGGGTGGTTAATGAACTAAATCAACGAGTTATGAAGAGTTGGGTGAAGTGACTTTGATTGAATTTGAACGTTCAAACATCTGAAGGACAGATAGACATGACCTCTAAAAGACACAATGGGCAGACAGACAAAACCTCTACAAGACAGACTGACCAGACAGACAAAACCTCTACAAGACAGACTGACCAGACAGACAAAACCTCTACAAGACAGACTGACCAGACAGACAAAACCTCTACAAGACAGACTGACCAGACAGACAACACCTCTACAAGACAGACTGACCAGACAGACAAAACCTCTACAAGACCGACTGACCAAACATGACCTGTAAAAGACAGACATGACCAGACAAACTGACCAGACAGACATGACCTCTAAAAGACAGAGGCGTAGCGACCCTTCCCGGTGCCCGGGGACAAACTTTCGATTTGCACCCTCCAACTCAAACTTTCGATTTGCACCCCCCCCCCCCTCAAACTTTCGATTTGCACCCCCCTCGAACTTTTGATTTGCACCCCCCTCCCTCAAACTGTCAATTTGTTTTTCCAACCCATTTTGGCGCCCCCCCCTAAGGTCGGCGCCCGGGGACATATGTCCCCCGTCCCCCCCCCCCTCGACACGCCTCTGCTACAAGACAGTGTTAGACTGATCAGGCTATAAGAATATCTTGCTATACACCCCACGCCACCCCGCTCATATCACTACTGTAGTTGTAACCCACTGTTGTCAGCCTCTTGTTTCTTACCCCCCCCCCTCCCCCTCCCCCTCCCCCCACTCTCACACCCCCACTCTCACACCCCTACCCCTCCAACTTCCCCGAACAGTAGGTCGCTATTGTCAGCCTCTCTTATCATACCCCCCCCCCCCACATCCCACACCCCCACCCCCTACCCTCCCACGCAACCAAAACCACTCTGCTATAATAACCTCGACTTTTATACACCACCATACACATAAACAAACACAAAGTTAATTACCTGCTCATGTTTTCAAAAATTACCTTAATTAATCTACTCGGGCTTTGTGGATAATGCATAATCAATAAAAAAAAAAGAATTAATATAAATTACAAGTTATTAACTATGTTTTACTCCAAACTTTAAAAGTGGTTA